GGCCTCTCACTGTTGTGGCCTCTCCCGCTGCGGAGCACAGGCTCCAGACGCGCAGGCTCAGCGGCCATGGCTCACGGGCCCAGCCGCTCCGCAGCATGCGGGATCCTCCCGGACCGGGGCACGAACCCGTGCTCCCTGCGTCGGCAGGCGGACTCTCAACCACTGCGCCACCGGCAGGTGGATTCTTAACCACTGCACCACCAGGGAAGTCCTGTTTGAGGACTTTCTAATACAACAACTGTCTTTTGGGAGCAAATCCATGGTCCATCTCATCTAATGTTCTGTTGCTTCAAAACATGTCCCCCAGGGAAAGCCACTTTTGACTACTAACGTGCTGAGGCCATGGAATTAGAGGGGTTGCTAACAAGGCAAGAAACAGCAGCCCATATATGGCTGAACGCAGTTTTTCTTTTTATTCTAGGTTAGCTGCCGAGAACAGGACTCATGCCTCAGCTCAACACGTACAGCGACAGCCCAGAGTTCCACGCAGTTTAAAAAGCTCTTTCAAATGAATTGCCCCACTCATCTCTCCATCAGCCCTGTGAAAAAGTTAGATTATGAACAGCATAGTAATGATAGAAAATGTGGGCTCTAGGGTCAACTTCTGTTTTTAAATCCTGGCTTTTCCACTTACTAGCAGGGTGACCTTGAGCGAGTCACGTAGCCTTTCTGAACTTCACTTTTCTCACCTGTAAAACAGAGATAAGGGTGCCTACCTCATACAGAGATTGTAAAACTCTGATAGGTAATTAATGCATGGAAAATGTTTAATATACTTAAACATGGCACCTAATAAGTGCTCAGGAAATGTGAACTGCTACTGTTTACCTTTTTCTCCGCACCCCCCGCCGCCGAATCCCCACCACCCGTCAGGACCACCATCTTTGCAACTACCGAAATCACCATCTATCTTCCCCCGCAGGAAGATAAGGAAACTAAATCTCCAAGATGGACTTTTTTTCTGAAGTCAAGCAACTACTAAGTCAGGTAGGACTAACCCATTATCTTCTGACCATACCATCCACCCTACCTGGAGCACTTCATCCTTCGTCCCTTCACCTTACTCCTCCTCAATCATCAGGTCTCAGCTTAGCCATCTCCTTCATCATGAGCCCTCCTCTGAGCCCTCCCCCAACATCTTACAGTCCCTTGTCCTTCCCCCATCACAGAACTTCTCAGACTACATAATAACTGGCTGTTGTCCTGTCTGTGTCCCCCACTAGGGCATGAGTTCCTTAACAGAAGAGTCCAGGTATGTATACTATACTCTCACATCCCCGGTACAAAGCACAGCACATAGTAAGTGCTCAATAAATACTTAGTAAATAAAAGAATGAATGGCAGACTCCTTTCATACCAATCTGCTGCTACATATTAAAGTATTATTTCTCCTTGGAGCACAATTTGGGCAATCAGAGATTGTAACACATGACTTCATGCCTTATACTGCTATTACATAATCTTCACCTCTCGTTGAAAACTCAAGGCAATCTTAACCAAATTCTAATGGAGTCCGTTTCTGAAGAAAGTACCTTAACTTGTGAAAATAATGCCTCAAATGGCACTGATGTTAATACACACACACACACTCATTCATTTCATACCTCATGCTTATTCACAAACTATGCATGTGCTTACAGTCACCAACCCCTGAGCATTTTGAAAAGGGCACCATCTTTTTTTTTTTTTTTTTTTTGGCCATGCCCCACGGCATGTGGGATCTTAGTTCCCTGACCAGGAATCAAACCCGGGCTCCCTGCACTGGAAGCGCAGAGTCTTAACCACTGGACCACCAAGGAAGTCCAAGGGCACCGTCTTTTAACTTTGAAGGTATTTTTCAGAAACATTTGGACTTGATGAGACACGATGAAAAGCCAATATTCATCCTTGCTATTCTTCCTCCAAGCAAGCACTGAAAATTCTCACTCTGAACTGTCTCTTTCTCACTTGCAGCTTTAGTACTTTTGGAAATTTTGAGTCCGACATGATGCAGACCCGCAAAACATGACCAAATACTTTAGTCCTTCCCTCTCCCTCCCTCTTGGAGGAGGTATAGAGGGCATAAATGTGGAAGCTTCAGGGAAATCCATTCAAAGTCCAGCTAGTCTTAGCTCATTAAAGTACTGTCATCTGAGGACAAACCAAATAAAGCTCAGCCCTCCAATCAATACCGTATTAGAATGCATTGAAAATGTGACTTGGATGACAGGGATGAAAGAAAAGTACATTGAAATTATAACGGACATAAACCCATCATTAAAATAAGTCAGAAAAATGTAAATTTTTCTATAGCAAGGAAAGAGCTGAACTCCACATCACAAGCACTGCAAGGTATTATTTAAAAACAAACCCTGCTCTCCTATTATCTTATTTTTAAAAGCACATTAAGAAATATAACCTGTATGGGGCTTCCCTGGTGGCGCAGTGATTGAGAGTCCGCCTGCCGATGCAGAGGTCATGGGTTCGTGCCCCGGTCCGGGCAGATCCCACACGCCGCGGAGCGGCTGGGCCCGTGAGCCATGGCCGCTGGGCCTGCGCCTCCGGAGCCCGTGCTCCACAACGGGAGAGGCCACGACAGTGAGAGGCCCGCGTACTTGTATATAACCCTAGAATCCTTTCCAAACCCTAAACTAGTCCGCCTGCCGATGCAGAGGTCATGGGTTCGTGCCCCGGTCCGGGCAGATCCCACACGCCGCGGAGCGGCTGGGCCCGTGAGCCATGGCCGCTGGGCCTGCGCCTCCCGCAGCCCGTCTCCACAACGGGAGAGGCCACGACAGTGAGAGGCCCGCGTACCGCAAAAAAAAAAAAAAAAAAAAAAAATATAACCTGTATGGAGTCTACAGAAATGTATAAAGCTAAAGTTGCATAATACCTTTGGGACACCAATGCCTGACACAGCCTTACTCATAGAATGATGGAGAACATGCATAAACATACATACATACATACATATAAATATACACATCTGCTCTTTCTTTTCTTCTCCCACTAAGTCATTAACCACCTTTTTCATTTCACTTCCCTATGCTAAATATTTATTTGGAAACTCTTCTTTCCCCATTCCTCCTCTCAAAAGGAGCTCTTCTCTTCTGAATCTCTTACTCTTTGCTCCGTCCCAGAGTTCTTACCTGCCTCTGTTACAAATTCCACCTCAAGGGAAAATCTCTGACGATTCTTTTTTCTTAAATAAAAATATATCGTTCTTTTGCACTAAATTTTATTTTCCAGGGTCCCCAAAATACAGCCAAATGTGGAGGCTCTCAAGCTAAAGAGTCTCCCTGTACTGTTTCAAGAAATAAATAGAAACAAGCCAGCAGATGTCTTCACGCTACCTCCTCCAAATCAGGTGGGACTGTTTAGGGGTTACGCTGAAAGGGATTCCAGTATAGAAGCCCATATTGTCTGTCTTCGTCTGCTGACCCCAACCCTTTTATCTGTTAGAACAGTGAATATATCTGTCTGGTTCACTAGCCTATTCTGCATACCTCTTAAGCATCTATGAGGTAGGGTCTATTCTTATCTAGCCTAATCCCTCTCTCCTGGTAGTTTCTTGGCTAATTATTATTTGTCTTTGCTGTGAACCAACGCACGTCATCAAAACATGTTCTAAGTTCTTAGAAGAGTAAGTTCAGCGATGCTTCCGATCTACACTTTTTTCTTCAAATGAGAATGAATGGATTTGGGACCCACAGAACAACTTTTAAGCAATGGGAACTGGTCGACCCTTCCATGTTGCTCTTTTATTAACAAGAGTAGGTACAAATAATCATACTAATACCTTTGTTTCCATAGGTGCTTTCCTCTGGATAATTCATGCTTCGCTACCGTGCCACTGTTCTCTGTCTTGTGTTCTCCCTTGGGTTCTGTGACAAACACGGGGCTCAGATCCAGATGCCATAAGGTAGTGAAGCTTCCACGTTTGTTAACGTACACAGGTGCGTTACACACTCCACAGATTCCTCTCTAGCATCTTTGTGTGAGGTTGCCCCTGACCTGTCAAAGTCCAGGCTAATGAGGTGACACCACCCACACTACAAAACCTCTCTGTGCTTCAGCCTCCTCAACAGCAAGTGGGCTGCCTTCGGGTTTTGAAGAGCAGTGGTTATCAAAGCGTTGCTCTAGACCAGCAGTAGCAGCATCACCTGGGAAACCATTAGAAAGCAAACGTTCAGGCCCCATCCCAGACCTAGTAAATTAGAAACTCTGGGGGGAGCCCAGCAATTTGTGTTTAACAAACACTTCAGGTGATTCTAATAGCATTAGAGTGGAAAACAGCAGCCATCGGGCATCTAGGGAGTTTGGGGGAGGCCTGCGGTTAGGAGAGCTATCTTTATTGGAAGAGGAATCACGTGCACAGGACCAAGCTTTGAGGTAAGGCTTCATAGTGTAGTGCTAGGAGCAACGGGTAAAAAAAAGAGAGACTGCTCTGATACACAGAACCACTTTTAAGCAATTGGGGCTATTCAGAAACAGGGGCAAGTCATTTGACTTCTAATCATTGATTAGAAGAGGCTCCCTTTCTCTCAAAGTGCTCACAGGTATAAGATTATACTCTGGCAGAATCTACGAATAAGGCAATATAAAAAGTACTAAAAATAAAGCAAGGTTCTTTCAAAAACAACGAAATTAAGCCATAATAGGAAGCTTAATAGGAAGCTTCAACATACCACTAATATAGAAAGAGAGGTTTATAATTAATCTATTATCATTAATTTTTTAATATCTCAAAGCTATTACCTTTAAAAACTATACTACTGATGGTGCCTAGAGTAGATAATGGATTTTTGTTTCCTAATGCTTTATTTCTTATTCAGAAAAGACCAGCAGTTGGCTTAGATTCTCATAAGATTCCATTTATTATTATATGAGGCGGTATTTATGATTTAAAAGGGACCAATCACCACCAGCCAGAACTGATACCACATCAAAGATTAAGGTTGAGGTATTAACTTACTTCTCCTCTGTTCTGTAACCAAAATAACCATCTTTTGACAGTCATGATTTTGCTTCAGGATAGTCAGATAACTGAATGAATAACTGAATGAATGAAAAGACAACCTAACATTATTTAGCCATTATTACACACCATGTACCTGGCACGGTCCTGAGCACATCATATACACTGTAGTATTTAATATTCACAGCAACCTTAGGAAGTTAAGCATTGTTAACCTCATTCTAAAGAGGAGGCACCTGGGCTGACAGAGGTTCAATAACTTGCCCAAGGTCACAGAACTAGCAAGTGATGGAGTCAGGAAACAAAGCCAGTGGTTTCCAGAGTCAGGGCTCTTAATCCTTTGAGTATATCTTTTTAGTATAATCCTGAACTCTAGGGATTTGGAGGGCAGAGAGAATGCTTGGCCCAGCGCAAATAACACTTAGGACCATTTAAGGCTTCTAGAAATACTAAAGACAGCCAACAATCAAACAACCATTTAATGAATGTTCAATCTGTGTCAGGTACTGAATTAACCACTGTACAACTACTATCTCACTTAATCCTTACCACACCATGGAAGGTGGTTACCACTGTCATGATTTCACATATGGGTAACTATAGTTAGAGGATCTAAGTAATGAGCCCATCTTCTTAATAAAGAATACACTGCTCACATAATTAAATGTAAAGGAAGCAAAATATGTACTGAGCAGGTAAGAAAAACACTCAGTAAATTTAACTTCCCTTCCCTTATATTAAGTTTCCAGGGATAAGGATGGTGTCAGTGATGATTAATTCATTGTCTTTCTTACCTATCTTCTTACTTGTTCCATACGGCAGATATTTGTGAGTTAGATATCTGGGTGCCGTACGCAGTCTTGAAATAGAACTAAGTTCACTGATTTCTCTACATCTTTATAATCACCAAACACTACCTCTTTGAGGCTTGCACCACTGGCTAGGAGAGTGGCCCCCAAACCTGCCCATTTGGCAATAGTAACAATGAACAACCCTAGGAATAAGACATATCCCACACCCAAGCCCAACAATCCAAGGGTAACATGCCACGTTGCTCTACCCAAAGAACCTTGTGCTAAGCATGTAGGTGGCCAACATCTCACAGAGAGAGTCAGCAAAAATGAACACCTTTTCCCAAAACTGCAAGATTTCATCTAGTTGAGAGTTCAATGAAAGTTGATTTATTTAGTATTCTAATATCATGGGAAGAGCTCTGTTTTCAGAATCAGAATCTCTGGACCTCAGTCATGTCTCCACCACAAACCAGCTATGTGATCATGGGCAAGCTGCTTAGCTCCACTGGATCTGTTTTCTCACTGAGAAAATGAGACAAAATAAAACTCGTTCCCCAAATTTTTTGTGCACAGTAGATAAGAGCTGTGAAAATACTTTGCAGAAATATAAAACCCATCTCAGAAGTATGAGATGGGATTATTATTTTATGTAACTCCTTCCTCGCCTAAAATTTGGCGGTCAATGTATCAACCTGGTTAGCTAAGTTGGTTTACTGACAGACTAATTTGAGAGGTAAGAGGAAGAGGACTGTTTCAAACTAATAATTAGCAGCTGTAGCAAGAACACCCATGGAACTATTTGCTCAGTTGTTTCGATGGTTAAGAGGGATTCATTTCCAATGACCTCACTTCTCTATAACCTTCGCAAATCCCTAGGTCAGTGAATGTTCCTACGAAATAGGCTGAGAAACCTTTCCATGCAAGCAAAAAGGATTATCGGCAAACCATTATGTCACTAAACATGACAGAGACACTCTTCGTGGCTCAACAAATGGGGGCTCATTATATTTTGCCAAAGATACCTTTAGATTCCTACTCAGGTTTCAAGGTGCCAAGTTATTCACCCTCACATGTCTACATCAGAGCAGAAATTAGCCTATATGTAGATTGCTTGGGACAGCAGTGACAGCAGACAGGAAAAAGGGCATTTTTATGCTGGGAGAAAAAAAGAAACTCCATCTGGAGTTAAATCTGGAGAGATGAATAAAAGATAGTATTTCAGTACTATTGATTGTTTTTACATCTCACTGAGAGGATTCAACCAAAAGGTTCAAGAGCAAAGAGATAAACATCAAGTAAACACTGGGGTTGACATATATACACTACTATGTATAAAATAGATAACTAATAAGAACCTGCTGTATAAAAAAATCAAGTAAACAATTTCTTTGGTGCCCTTTCATTTATCTTGGACTATGGTTCCCCCTTAAGTTATCTGATAGATTAACATGGCCTTGCGATGTGACACCAACATCCTGCTTTTCCTATTATACCTCTTTTCTTAAAATGTTTTGTGGTCAACACGAACAGGTAAAAGTCTAAATTCTCCCTGTGCCTGTATTTGTTTTCAAGCTATAAAGCTGGTTGTAAAGCTATAAAGCTGATTGCTTGATTAGTCACTCAAACTCTGGCTTTGGATCATCTTACCAAAGTTTACCTTCAGTATACCCAAAACAGAGGTTACAGAGGATGCTTAGATCATGGTCAACGACTGGGAAGGAAACCAAGGTTTCTCAGACATAAGACATGCCAAACTTTTCAAAGCCAAGATCATCTCATTTTCCTGCTTCTGCTTCTCTGATAAAACATATCCACGCTCTGTTACTAACAGCCACTCTGCAATACACTACACGTTGAACCAGCTGTCCCCCCAAGTGCAGGCCTCTCCAGTGGGTCTGGTTGTCACTAAACCACTGATTAAACATTTTAAGACTGGCTTTGGCAAAACATGCCAGAAATTCCTTCAGGGTAATTAAAACCACCTTCTGTGTCAATAAATACAGACTGTGAGATCCTTCATGTGCAGAGGGGCTGGTGCTGACCCACGGGCTCTAGGATGTTTTTTCTTAGATGGCTTTTCCATCACTGCAATTGATTTTAACTGACTCATCCAGACCCTTCCCCCGCCCCATGATGGAATGATTGCTTGAACTCAGGTATCATCTTACCCTTATTGTTTAAGCCAAGAGACAGGACCAAAGGGGCCCTGAACCTAAGGGCCAAGCTCATTGCCAAAGCCCTTTCACCCAGACCTACAGGTACGAGAACTTGAATGGAATTCTTGTTACAGAATGTGACAATTACTAGTGTCCACTTTTCACTACTTTTCCAGGGTTCCAACTGATTTTCATTTGAAGAATTATTAATGTGACTTCAAAGTAAAAGGAAAAACTCAGGTGAATATTTACTACATTGATATCCAGAGGCCTGTTCTTCGCACATAATAGACACTCCATGAATTATAGTTCACCCCAATAGCAGTTTTATAATTTTTAGTATGTAAACAATGCATAATACTTATTGAAAACTGTCGTACATTAGAAAATATAAATAGTAAAAATTACTAAAAGCTCCGTCAACCTGAGATAACCATCATTAATATTTTGATAACCATTCTGTTTGTTGAATTCTCACAATTCACACATGCAGGAGGAATCATACTATATAGATCATGGATGTGGTGAACTTTAATATTTTGAATTGTCTGTTTTTTGCTTACTTCTCCCCTCCCCCTGATAACCAATGTTAATAACCCCTTATATACTTTTTTCATTTGGATGCTGTCATATACCAACTCACATGGCATGACTAAGGTTTCAGCTGCTTAATCAATACTTGCTGAATGGTTAAAGGGTAAAAAACAAACACGTAAACAAATGAATGGATGAACGAATAAATAATGGGTCATGCTCTTAATTAGCTGGTACGATTTCCAAGTGACTGCAAAAAGCACATCTTTTGACAGCACCCCTGTAGCTTTAAACCCTAGTGGGTGTAGGAGAACCTGGCTTCAATATGTGGAGAGGGAGCCCCAAGTTCAAACTCCCACGTAAAGAATATGTAACTGGCTGCTGTCCCAACTACAGAGACATAATCAATTTACTCTCAAACT